GTTTAAACAGGAAGGAACTCATTTGTTTTAAATTTGGTCTTATAAAGTACTTTCGATACCATTTAAGATTATTACATTATAATTATCTGCAGCTAAAAATGAAGCTTTACTGAGTGTTTTGGCAAAAACTATAGGTAATTATATAATTTTTACATGTGCCTTACCAGGTTAGTTAAAAACAAAAAATAACATTTTATATTCATCTTATATTTACAGAGGACTATAAGAAGGAGGTTGTCATTACAAGTCAGTATCGCCCATTTAATACAAAAAAACTTCAATTACCAACTTAATTTTTTGGACTAATTAAATTTGTTTTTATACATAATATGTTTTAAAAAATATATTACAGACACAATAATCAGGCAAGGTACCCAAAGTGGAAGTAAAGTATATTTTAAATAATTATTCTGATATATAATTGTGGTGTGATATTATATTATTATTATATTGTCTGTTAATTAAATGATTAATAAATAAAAAAGGTATATTTCTATATTTTATAGTAATTCTACTTTTACTATTACTATTACTATTACTACTATTTTTACTATAACTATAACTATTACTAATACTATTACTTTTTGTTTTACTATAACTAGTAATAGTAAATGTAATAGTAGTAGTAATAGTAAAACAAAATGTAAAAGTAATAGTAATAGCAATAGCAAAAAAACTATAAAATCTATACATCTTTACACCCGAGTGGTAGAGCACGTGGAGGTACAGCTGTAATCATAAGAGATACCATAAAGCATTTCGAGCGTGAAAAATACTCAGAACTGTACATACAAGCTACAAGTGTTCGTGTTAAAGATGGGAATAATAACCTCACGATTACGGCTATTTATTGCCCACCGCAAGGAGGTGCAGATGAAATTTAATTTACTGCATTTTTCCAAACGCTAAGAGACCGATTCATTGCTGGTGGTGGCTACATTGCCAAGCACTCTCACTGGGGATCAAGACTGATCACTCCGAAAGGGCGTGCTCTACTAAAAGTAGCTAACACTATAAACGCTGAAATAATTTCTACTAGAGAGCCAACCTACTGGCCAGCCGATTCTAAGAAAATCCCCGACCTGCTTGACTTCTTCGTAATTAAAGGCATCTCCTCTAATTATGTTGAAGCTGAAGGACCAACAGAGCTAACGTCCGACCACATCCCTGTGTTATTATCGTTAAGCTCAAATGTCATTATGAAAAACCGAAAACATTTTCAAATAAACAAATACACAGACTGAGACCTGTTTACAAATACTCTGGAAAAAGCTTTCACTCTTTCTGTGCGGTTAAAATCGTCAACAGACATTGAAATGGCAGTACATACGACTCGTAAACTGACTAATGACATTGTTGAAGCGGCAAAAACGGCAACACCTGAAGCTCAAAAAGGCAACGATCGCGAGTTCAACTACCCGAAAGAAATCAGAGAGCTTGTTCTACAAAAGCGGCGAGCAAGACGAATTTGGCACAGAACTCGACACCCATCCGATAAAACCGAATAGAACCGAGTCAGCATAATACTACATGATAAAATCAAAGAAGTGAAAAATGAAACATTAAAATCGTATTTGTGTGGCTTATCTGCAACAGCCGATTCCGATTACTCTTTATGGAAAGCCACAAGACGATTAAAAAGACCTCGCGTTCATAAACCACCCATCCGAAAGGAAGATGGCACTTGGGCGCGCAGTGAACAAGATAAAGCTGAAGTATACGGACATCATCTCGAACGTGTGTTTCATCCAAACGACATGATTTCTGAACTTGACAGCATTCAATGTCAGCCACTTATTTCTATAAGAGAAATCATACGGCACTTTACACCACTTGAAGTAGCCCATGAAATCGATACCAACATCAACACCAAAAAGGCACCTGGATACGACGAGATCAGCACACGCATCCTTAAAGAGCTACCTAAGAAGGCAATCATCCACCTTACTCACATCTTCAACGCCATCTTGCGAACGAAATTTGTTCCCGAGCAATGGAAATAAGCGGAGGTAATTTTATTGCTCAAACCTGGGAAACCACCCGAACAAGCCACCTCTTATCGGCCGATATCGCTTCTACCATGCATTACAAAACTATTCGAAAAACTTCTTCTTAAGCGTCTTAGCCCCCCTGCTTGGGGTACCCATTTATTTGGGTAACGGGTGTGACATCCCCGCGGACCTCAGTCAACCAGGTGGAGGTGTAGCCTGAAGGATGTCAGGATCGTCTCAGGTAAGTAAGTGACTACATAGATCGTAGCACTGAAGCACCTCCTCCACCATGTTGGGCCCTCCATTAATGGGGGTTGTCATTGGGCCAACAACCCAATACGCAAAAATAAATAGTTAATGGATTGTAGAAACTATAGAGGGAAATCACTACTCGACTCTTCATACAAGATTCTGTCAAACTGCTGTGGTGTATTCCTTGATGTGGCCCAAGCTTTTGATAAAGTTTGACACAAAGGTTTATTAATAAAACTGCAAGAGCAGCTCCCACATACATGGTGTGCACTTCTCAAATCATATCTGACTGAATGACAGCTTTGCGTTAAATACGAAGAAGCTACCACTAACTGGAAGAGTATATCAGCTGGAGTACCTCAAGGTAGTGTTCTCGGACCTATTTTGTACCTACTCTATACAGCTGATATTCCAACTAATGACGATAGCTATGTTTGCCAATGACTCGGCCATACTGTCAACCAATAAGGACCAACAAGCTGCGACTGAGATCCTACAAGTGACAATCAACAACGTTTACGACTGGACAAAGCGTTGGAAAATAAAAATCAATAGTGACAAGTGAACGGTGCACGTCAACTACACGCTACGTAAAACCGCATATATCCCAGTCACGCTTAATCAACAGATAATCCCACAAAATAATTCGGCAAAATATCTGGGAATGCACCTTGACTCGCGACTTAACTGGAAACATCATGTACGCCAGAAAAAGTTGCAAATCAAAGAAAAAATGCGCAAACTGTATTGGCTAGTTGGGCGACACTCCGAGCTAGACCTAACCAGCAAACGTCTCCTGTATGTATCGATCGTTAAACCGATTTGGATGTATGGTATTCAGTTGTGGGGTTGCGCCAGTAGGTCTAATATCGAACTCATCTAACGTTGACAGAACATCGCTCATCGTACTATTGTTGCAGCATATCGGTATGATAAGAACGACATCATACTGCGCGATTTAAAAAAACATCCGTGCAGGATGAAATTACCCGGTTTGCCCGCAAACACGCAAAAAGACTAGAGCTTCACTCAAATACAGCTGCCATACAACTCCTCGACAAGTTGCAAGACATCAGACTACTCAAACGACTGAAGCCATTCGACTTTTACTACTACTTTTACTTTTACTATTACTATTTTTATAACTATTACTACTACTTTTTGTTTTACTATAACTATTAGTACTACTTTTACTATTACTAGTAATAGTAAATGTAATAGTAGTGGTAATAGTAAAACAAAATGTAAAAGTAATAGCAAAAGTAGTATTAATAGTAATAGTAAATGTAATAGAGAGATTACTACTATTTTTACTATAACTAATACTATTACTATTTTTATAACTATTACAACTACTATTACTTTTACTATAACTACTACTTTTACTATTACTATTACTATTACTTTAAATATTACTTTTACTATTACTTTTACTATTACCTTTACTATTACTGCTACTACTACTATTACTACTCGTTTTCGTTTTTCCTCCTCACAATATTTTTTCTTCCTATCCCCGATCTTCTCTTCTAACCTGAACCTAACCTAGTCTTAACTATCGAATCCAAATTTCACATAAAGCTTACAGAACCTTACTTAAGTGTGCAGAAAATTTCACCCCCCCCCCTTCTCCCCCGTAGACATGTTCATGTCAATGATGTTTAAGCATTCTTTTTAAAAGTATTTACTTTCGACACGGCTCAATAGATGTTTTAGTTGAATTTCAGTCATTGATCTTCTACTATAATTAATATCCTTTAAACTAGCGTTCCCGATTAGAGGATCTGCAAAAAAAATCATTGTTTTGCTAACAAATAATTTAATTACAAATCTGTTCGAAAATGTATTGTTTTTTAAAAATAATGTAATGTATTTTTATAAATTATATTTGGCCAATTTTAATTATACAATTATAATAATGAAACATTATAAAATAAGTGATTATATATATGACTTATGACCAATACTTGAACAAGATATTAGTATTAAAACTATTCAGTATTTGTTTTAAATAATGCATAATCACAATATTAAGTATAGGTGCTTGAAAATTTGTATACACATTATAAATGCATTATTTTTTAATTTTTAATCTGCTTCAATTTAAGTTCCTGACAGACATTGAACTCAATATCTTCACTGTACATGGCGACATGTGAAATATTTTCCGGTAAATTTGATAATAATAGAATACAAAAGATGTAATAACGTTGGCAATAGTTTCATTCCAGGTATAACAAAATTTATGAGAAGCTAAAATATTATGTACTGTAGATTTCAATACAAATTATAGTGCTACTAAACAATAAATGAATCATGTTACAATGTTTACAAATGATTTATACTTAAATATTTTTTATATAATATTAACTTAGAGTGGTACAATTGCTCTAAAAATAAAAAACGGATTATACTGGTTTATATTTGTAAAAAGAACCTCAGGAATGAATTATTGTTATTGAGTAAAATACGTTTTTAAAACAAGTCTATGCGATGACTTTTATTTTAAATACCTATTTGTATAGTGCATACGGGTTTAGAATGGAATATATGGTTAAAATTCGATAATGCAAACATTAGTCTTAAGAGTGATTGGAATACCAGTAACTAATAGTATGTTCTGTTTAAGCTCGATTTGGTGTAATGTAGACATGTAATTATATTTTTAAAAAACACCTCTGTAAATAAATCTACATAGACGACACAGACACATAATATATTAACACTACTGTTATAAATAGAAGCCGCAAAAAAAATTATTTATTAACAGTACAGCAAGCTGATCGAATAGGCTATTGCCTTAAAATTTCAACAGCATTTTATATCGTAGCTATAAAATTTTTGTCTCTTGCACAAAATACTTACAAATAATACGGTATTATTGTTTGCAGCTAAAAATGAAACTTTGCTGTGTTTTGTTTTCATTAGCCGTTGTGAAGGTTTTGGCGGAAAAAATAGGTAATAATTAAATTTTTACACAAACCTAAAAAGAATTACTTAAAAATTTAAGAAAAAACTTCAATATTTATATTTTATTTACAGTGGATTATAAGACGAAGGCTGTCATTACAAGTCAGTAATATAATTATTTTATCCAAAATAACTTTCTTTAAGTTTTTTATTTTGTTTTTATGCATAAGTTTTAAATAATATATTGCAGACGAACTACTCAGGCAAGCTTGTGATATAACAGGTATAGTATACTTAAAATAGAATATTCTGATCTGAATAGTGTATATTAATAAAAAATGATTTATACATTTCTAATTTTCTGTTCATCATGATTACATAACAAGTGTAGTACCAGTATTTAAAAAACCTTTTCTACTCTAAGTTAAGTTAATTATGCACCGCTTTTAATGATGTTTTATCTTCACGGACTCTTATTTTTTATGGTTTTTTTGTCTAATAAATGTATGCCTTGATTTAAATATTAATATAGTAAAAGTAATAGTAATAGTAGTAGTAATAGTAGTAAAAGTATAACTACTACTTTTACTATTACTATTATTCTAAGTAAAAGTAATAGTAATAGTAGTAGTAAAAGTAATAGTAAAGTAGTAGTAATAGTAATAGTAAAAGTAGTAGTTATACTTGTACTACTATTACTATTACTACTACTAATACTTTAACTATTACTATTACTTTTACTATTACTTCTACTTTTACTATTACTATTACTTTTACTATTACTATTACTATTACTATATTTATTACTTTTACTATTACTACTACTATTACTTTAATATTAATATTTTATTTGAAATCTGTTTATTTTTTCTAGCGGGATTTCCAACTATAATAAAAAGAATTGTACTTGGAAATCAATATTCAATGGGTAATCCTAATAATAAAATAGAAAAAAAAATTATAATGACAAAAAGTGATATGAAAAAATGTTCGAAAGTGATAGTAAAATAATCACAACAAAAAATTAATCCATACAAAATAATCAGTGATATAAATCTTAAATTTACTTAAATTTATTTTATGCTACTTCAGTCTGATCTTCAATTCATCTATTTTATTATGGTGCTTTTTTCGATTTAATAATACGCACTTAATTTCTCTCTTGACTGAAATATTCTAATTTATAAATAAAAAATAAAATTAATCCAGTTTAGTCAATAAACGATGTACTATGTTTTGTACATTTTAGAGGAATTGGCTTTTATGTTTGCTGTGCCGGGTAATAATTTTTGCGCTTTATGGAAGTATCTCCACAAAGTTAATTTATACTCATTATGTGATAATTGTTTTCTTTTTAATTTTAGATTATGCAGACACTGAAGGCCTTAATATATTTCGTAATAACCTATATATATTTCATACATAATATGTATTATAGTTAACACTGATAATATATATTAAAAATAATAATATATATACATGGACATATACATACAAATATAATTTAAATACTATCGAAAAAAATATGTACATTAAAATGTATTTTGTTTTGAACTTTAGAATGCATGAAATACGAACGTGATGTGCAAGAAGCAATATTCGAAGGCATTAATTGTAAATATAATATTAATATTGTTATATGGACAATTTGTATATAATTATGTTTAGATTAAAGTTTTGATGCGTTTTCAAAACAATTTATATCTCATAGATTAACGCAAACGGGGCTACTAGAAATAGTTTAGAACATTGATTATAAATAATAGTTGATAGCATAATAAACAATTTGATTTGAACAGTTATCAAAAAATATAATTATATAGTAATTAGTAAATAGAGTTTAAAGTCATTAGGCATTTGGCTATTTTTGTATTTGGCTCATTTATTATGAATTGTATGATTATTTGAAATTTTGTTATAGCTCTCGATGATGAGTACAAGGAAGTGCCTAAGATTGATGCTGCTAAGATCCCAGGTAGGTTTTCACGCTTTTTTTATAGTCTTAAATGATCTATACATATTATTAATCATAACTAATCAAAATTAGTATAAGTTACTAGCTAAATTTTTGGATACTACTTCTCGACTTAAAAAACTACTCAAATAAAATATAATTCGGTCGAAAAAACAATACATTTTCGAACAGATTTGTATTTAAATTATTTGTTAGCTAAACGATGTTTTTTTTTTGCAGATCCTCTAATTAGGAACGCTAGTTTAAAGGATATTGGTTATAGTAGAAGATCAATGACTAAAATTCATCTAAAACATCTATTGAGCCGTGTCGAAAGTAAATATTTTCAAAAAAAAATGCTTAAACATCATTGACATGAACATTGAACATGTCTAGGGGAGGGGGGTAAAATTTGCTGCACACTTAGGTAAGGTTCTGTAAGCTTTATGTTTAATTTGGATTAGATAGTTAAGAATAGGTTAGGTTCAGGTTAGAAGAGAATAGAAGAGAAGATCGGGGAGGGGAAGAGAAAATATGGAGAGGAGGTAAATGGAAAGCGAGGAGAGGAAACAAAGAAAGTGACGGGAGGAGAAGGAGAAAAAAATATGGGTACGGAAGGATAAGAGTAGGGAGGGGAAGAAAAAGTGGAGGTAAAAGAAGACTGGGTAAGCATGGAGAAGATAAATAGAGAGTAGGAGAGGAGAGAAATGGAAGAAGAAGAGAGGATAAGGGAAAATAATGACCATGATTATAAACATCAACATGAATATACATTTCAAGTGCGGAATATCTGCTATATTAGAATTCTATCTGTATAGATATAGGTACAATAAAACATATTTGATATTCATGAACATGATGGTACATGAAATTTAATGTTGGAGGGAGATAAGGTGCATCTAGAGTTCTATCGAGGATAGAAATAATAAAGTCTAAGTCAGTGTATTGACAACGAGATTATAACTTTAGAAATACTTACATAGTTCATATGAAGTGAGTAATCATGCCAAGGATATATAATCTGAAGAACATGGCCAACATAAAAATGCCTTTACTACTACTCCATATTTTAATAAAGACAGAACTAATGCAAAATACAGTGTTCGGATTTAATTAGCAGAGTTAAATAGTTTGGTACGATAATACGCATTGAAAAACTTTTAAAAGACTTCAACAATGGCAGTATTTATATGTTGCTTAAAGTTTAATGTTGGAGTTCTTTTAAACACGGCCAAGTATGATGCCATTAAAGAGTATTAATCGTAAATAGGACAATGTTGTCTAAAAAATTACGTAACTTCACTTTTGTCTACATTTAGACTAAGATTTGTTGCACTCTGATTACAAAAATGTTGAGTTCAGATTGAACAGCGTGAAAATCCACAACTGACCAAATACACGATATCACTTAACAAATAAAAAACGGAGAACAGTCATGAATTTGATAAAGATGTGTATTTCTTAATTGTAGACTTTAAATAAGCCTATGTCAATTGTAAGAAGTGTTATTACTATGGAACGCGATGGTCCAACTAGAAATGCCTACTAAGCTTGTTAGGATGGTGAAAGCATGTATGCAAAATTAAGATGCAAAATTCAATTCAATTGGTGGTATCAGAGGAGGTTACAGTGGTAAGACAAGGTGATGACAGGGTCTCCGGTTTTATTTAACACTGCGTTGAATCGGTCGTTAAAGAAGAACTGCAAAGTGAGCCACAGGGTTTAAAATTTGAATATGAAACAAAGATAATAGATAGTATTGGCCGCGTAAGCAGGGTAGTGATAGCAGAAACAGAGGATAGTCTCAAAAGTACAACCGAAAATTTGATGGATGCAGCGAAAAAGATTGGTCTTGTCGTCAATGAAAAAAAATTCAAATGTATGATTTTATTCACAAAATGCAATAACAATAAAATATATGTCATTTAAAGGAGTCCATAAATTTAAATACTTAGGATTATATGTTGATTAGACTTTTGAATTCAGTTTTTTCAATTCAGTTCTTGTTCTTAAAATACCTATTGACATGTTTGGTACATCGTTTATGTGATGACAATTTATTTTAAACACTTTTAATGAATAGGTAATAATTTACAACAATATATCAAAAATATAACTCTGACTAGCTATAAATTATGACTAGAAATATTAAAACTATATTCAATAACTAGTCAACACAACTAATATATGTATAAAATGCAATCTACTACAAAGTTTTATTGAAGAAAATAAAAATTCTTAATAATATTATTCTTAATCAATTTTCTTATTAATGTTTCTTTTTTGAATGAATGTTACACGAATTTTATAAATAATAATTCATGTACCTAAATAATAAGCTAAATTTATCAGGTTTAAAAAAATTAATGTTGTATTTTTTAAGGACGAAAGGAAGAAAGTTTTACTGCTATTCATGTTTGTTATTTAATTGGATTATATAAAAATTCAACGATCCCACGATTTGGAACATTGCCATTTATAAAAACTGCCAAGGTTGACGATGATGGCACTTGCATCCTAACTTCTTCAGAAGACGATGTTACTTATTACAAACACTATATGTTTGATATATTTCAATTTCGGCCGGATATCCAAAAAGAGGAAGTACTTTTGAATCAAGATTAGGTACTAATAATTTCTATACACTCATTATTAATAATTATTAGATACACTGTATCAATAATTTTTTCCATATCGCACTATTACAAATAATTATATAACAGTTTTGGTCAATACTTTAAACACATTTGTTGGCTATATGAATTTTTTGACCATTTGTAAATAATTTCAACGTTTTTACTTTTTTTACTGTTTTGTATATTATAAAAAACTAAATCACTTTCTTGGTTTGGTTTTTTCTGGTTACTTATATTATTTATACCTTTTCTTCACTTAGTTATACATGTTAAATAGTTATTTTAGTTTGAACATCGCTATCGCTATTTACTCAAAGTATTTAAATAATCATTGTTTTTTTGTGCTTTTCCTCAACGCTTACAAACAAAAATATCATAATTATTTATAACTATGGTCTAAACGGTGTCTAAAAAGATTTTATCGATGGAAACCATAACAATATATTTATTTTCTGTACGGTACATTCAATAAGCAAGTTCAATAAAGTTAATATTATGATTTAATACTTTATTTTGTAAAAGTTCTGTTGTTTATTATGCTATTTATAACTATATTATTTTGTACTCTTTGCCCTTAAGGTCGTAACTACAATTAGTACAAAAAAATGGCATGTGTGTACTAGGTATGGTTTTATGTTTTCCAAAACACTTATTAAAATAAACACATTTTGTTCTATATTCGTTGGTCTACGGGCCTTCCGATAAAATATGATTATTTCTTGTTCTAATAATGTAGCAATAAATTATGATGCAAATATAAATTTACTTCCCGAATATGCGAATACACAAATCTGCAGTTGTTCAAAAACAATTTTAATATCGACAAAATTATAATACTGACACTTATGTCCTTGAAATTGTGTTTGCAGCACCTGGTACGTTTACGACTGATCATCTATCATCTATGTTTTTTGTTGACTGTATACCTATTGTCTGTTGTGGACTCACTTGCACTTATCAACGTAGAAATTTACTACGTTCAATAATGCTAACCTTTGTTGTACTCTTAAGAGTTTTGGTAAATATTCAATAAGAGTTATCACGTTTAGTAAGTATGATTGAGTAGTAAGAGTCGAGCTAAGGCGCAGTAACAATAATTATCGTTTGAGTTTAAGTTTCCAAAGTTAATATGAGAATAGCTGATTTGGAGAGGATGTAAGAAATATAAAAATCTGTGCAAAATTGAGATCACGTTGTATAAAAACCCTACAGAAAACAAATGTTTAAAAAAAATTAATAAACTCTATGATATATTCAGTGGACCACATTAAAAAAATCATCAGGTACATAAGAATTTTATCACTATCGACATTCATTTAATACATAAAAAATTGACAGTTTAATAATTTATTAGTTTTCAAAGTATCGTACGTGCTCTATCTGTAAAAAGTGGCAACTATATCAAGTGCAACTAAAATTCTTTAAAATTCTTTCTCAATACGATAATAGGTACTTGCTACTTAGGTAAGGTACGAATTTTATCGGTAGACTAGCATTTAAAATTGA